AAAATTTAAAGCATTAATAATATATAGCTGCACAATGCAATGAACACTCTTTGGGTGTTCATTTCAATGGCCCCTATGGTTCAGGGCTTCCAAAGTTCACTAATGAAACCACCCAGACTTCTATTGAGGAAAAATACTCATCTATATTATACCTCGATTATTTCTTTATTAATCTGACGACTTTAAGTCCCCAATGATGATACTCACTTGCTGACTATTTAGAACAGAAGCACATGCTATTTTTCCAGGTTAGACTATCTTTAAAATGTCGCACAGAGACAGAAATATTCAACACTGTGATTATGGGCCCCTTGTCTCTTACTTCTTAGATCAAATGTAAAGTAGCTGAGATCTTTAAACTTAATTTGTTAAAGCGCCTAGAGCTATAATTGACACCCAGCATGACGGAGGGAAAATACCACGTCCGAGACAGGAAAGGAAGATTTTCAGAACCCTGGATAGCTCAAGACTAACTGCGCGCCTTGGAATTTCACCTCCAGCGTTTATCCATAAAATACGGTATATTGTTTTCATTCTTCCAAAAAGCGAAAAGAAAAAAAAAAAACCTGAGATGCCGGGCTTATATTTGTTTTCCCCAATTTTCAGGAAAGTTATAGGTGTGACTTTGTAAGTTATATATAATTTACAACTTGGAGGGTCGTTGGATGAGAACAAGGGGTGAGTAATGATTTCGTCTAGTATCTGTCAATCTTTCCTGCCCTAAATGTCCCTTCTTCAGATCAGATATCTACGACAGAAAGCCTTCATCCCTCCCCTAACCCCATCCCCAGTTTCCTTAGGGGAAAACCAGGGCTCACAGACTGGGGGGATCTCTCCAGCCGCCCTTAGCGCCCCGGTAGACCATCAAAGTTTAAAGCCTTTGCAAACATCAAAGCTAGGGGTATTTTGCCTGAGAGCGGTGGGAGAGTGATATTCAGGAGAATAAAGCTACACCGTGAAACGCAGGTGTGGATTCTTTTTGAAGGTGCCACTATGTCTTATTTTCTCCCCCTTTCAAGTTTTCGGTGTAATTGTTGCATTCCCCCGTTTATCCAGACGCCTAACACAAGCTCGTTACGGGGTAATGAAGTACTTGTCAATAACTCGAGCTGCGGTGGAAGCGCGCGCTCAGGGTGGCCGCCAGGGAGACGCGGAGGCGGGGAGACGCGGAGCTCCCCTTCTCAGGACGAACCGGATGACCTGACAGTCGAACGACGCCGGCTTCGCTTTTGAGCCATTTCTGTGGGAATGTGGCTGTGCTGGCGGGAGATCGGGGCCCTGCCTGTCCGTGGAACTCACAGGCCGCCGAAGCGCAAGCCCAGGCCCCTGGCCGGGCAAAGGCCCCGCTTCCTTGGCCCAGTCGCCCCCCCCCCCGGGCTTCTGCCCCCGCGCCCAAGCCCGGTGTACCTGCACTCGGGACTCCGTCAGCCCGATACGCAGCGCCAGCTCCTCGCGCATGAAGATGTCGGGGTAGTGAGTCTTCGCGAAGCTCCTCTCCAACTCGTTGAGCTGCGCCGGGGTGAAGCGCGTCCGGTGGCGCTTCTGCTTCTGTTGGCCCTGCTGCTGGCCGGCTTGGCTGGGGTTCGGGCCGCCTTGGGGCCCCGGCTGCTTGTCCGGGTCCTTTGCGCTCACCGCCAGCGAGGCCGGCGTAGAGCCCACTGTGGTGATGTCCTCCCCGGGCAGCAGAGTGGCTCCCTCGACTGGGTCGGAGCTGGGCGCTAGGTCCCCCGGATGGCCCCCAGGGTCGGAGCCCCCCACGCCCAGCCTACACTTCACCGCCTCCCGGTGGCCCAGAAGCTCGGCAGCATCTTTCATACCTGAGGAGGCAAGGGGATCTCCATCACTACCCGCCCGGCCCGGCCAGGAGGGACTGTCCTCACCGCGCGGTCCTCCTGCAGCCCCGTCCTCGGCTCCCTCCGCGCCCCAGGTCGCCCTACTGAGGAAACTCCGGGGCTGTTCTGCTGGCCTCCCCGGAATCTGGACGGCCAGGCGGGAAGGGCACGTCCCGGCCCCATTCCCTCTGTCCGCAGCCAGCTCCCGGAGTAAACAGCACATGCTTTCGTATCTCCCGCAATGAAACACTCCCAGTCCCGGCAAAGAAACCTGCCTCCGAGTCCCTTTCATGAACCGTACCCCTGACGCCCCAGGAACGCGAAAGCAATCCTTGCACCCGGTGGAGAGGGCAGAAAAGAAAGAAAGAAAATTAAATGATTCCTTGGTCGCTGCCCCACCTGCGTCTAGACAGCTTAGCGAACTCTACCTCCGGCCCTCGGCCGATTACCTCTCACTTTTGGAAGATGAATAATTCTCCAAGCCTTCCGCCCTCTGAAATCAACCCAAATCAGCTCCGCCTCCCCCTCAAATCAGAGAAAGTGTTTGGAAAATGGAGTCACATCCATCACCAAAGATTCCCAAACCGGAAACCCAGAGCCCAGCAACACAGACCGCATTAAGGAAACTCAAGGAAACTCTATAGACAGAACAGTGAATCAAACTTTCGAGAATTCAACTTTTCTTTCCGGAGAAATAAAAAAGCGCGTTCCTCTCAGCCATTGGCAACGCTGAGTCCCTTGCAGGCGGGAATGCCTGTGGGGATGAATTTGGCTTTTCTCCTTTTTCAGGGAACACACTTAGAAAATCTGCCTTGATTGCAGCGGCTTCTCGTTTGATGTCAGATTTTTACAAATTCAACCATACTCAGATGAGGGGTAGAGAAGGAGGGAATAGGGACAGAGAGAAAAAAAGGGGGAGAAAAAAAATCCCAAGTCAAAGCAAACAGGAGGGGGAAGAGAGAAAGAAAAACACCTCCTAACAAATTATCTCAGGGTAGATCACAGTTCAAAAAAAATTAATAATAATAAGGGAGAGGGAGGAAGGGGGAAAAAGGAAAAACAAAAAGTAACAACATTTCCCTAGACCTTTTTTGGATCTACATATTCCATAGATTTTTTTTTAAAGACGATGTTAAATCAAATTAAACTTTAATGCAGCACAATTACTTTTAAAGAAATTAGTCCATTTAGGGCGCATTAAGGTAAAATAAGGAACAAATTGACAATTTCCTGCCCCGGCTTCTCCTGGTTGCCCGGGCGAGAGGCGCGCACTCACCTAGCCTGGCGTCCAGGAGGTCGGCGTGAGACAGCATCGCGCACCGCTCCAGGGCGAAAGCTGTTCCCCCCCAAATTTTAGCGGCTTTAAGTTATTTAAAATAGATATAAGCTATAAGCTATACGATATAGATATATATAGATCACCTAAATGAAAGAAAATTCGGTTTGTGGTTAAAAAGGGGGCTTCTTGCATTATAATGTCCTTTAGAGAGACGGGGAGGTGCTTAACAGTTGAATGAACCCGTGAGCAGCTCGGCGAGGGGACCAATCAGGAGGGCAGCCTGCAAATGTCAGCGCCGGGCGAGTCCCCCGCTCCGCCCGCCCGCCCGCCCGCGCCCGCCCGGAGGAGGCGGTGGCCGCAGCCCCGGCAGCTCCAGCCGCGAGCAGCAGCCAACGCGGCGGAGGCTCCTGGGCCTCGCCCCGGGCTTCCGCGCACGGCCTCCTTAGCGCTTCCCCGCTGCTCTCCCCAGTCACACCTGTCCTTTCCCTGGCCCCTGCGTCCTCCAAGGTGCGGCCCAGGCTCCGAAAACCTGGGAGCTCCGTGGGCCGGAGGCGATGCACAGGGCAGCGCAGGGCTTGACCCCCGCGTGACCCGCGAGGCGCCCGCGCCCCGGGCCGCGCCCGCCTGCCGCCGCCTCGTGCCGGCCGACTCGCAGCACCACCAGCGCCCCGCGCGGCCTCTCCACCCGCCCAGCAGGCCTGAGCCCGGGGTCCCGCGGCCCTGCCGGGACCCCCGGGCCTAAAGAGGACCACCCCCCTCAGCAGGCTGGGAGAGGGCAAAAGGAGTCAACTCCCCAGGCGCCCCCGGGGCCCGCAGTCAGTCTCAGGGCCCCGAGTGCGGTGTCGCCTCCTGCGCTCGCGGCACCTTCCCGCCGCCCGGCTCCCGCTCCTCCGCCAGGCCCATGCTTGCATCCTGGCCCACATCCTGCTCTTTGGGTCAAAGTTTCTAAGTTCAGCTCGGTTCCCAATTCCACTTACGGCTGTAAATAAAGTTAAATGCTCTTTATTTTCTTCTTGAATATGTTAAACTACTTGAACAATTTAAAGTGCTTTGCACAAGTGAAGCGAACCATCTCTAATGTTCTGATTTTTCAGAGCCAGCCAACAACAAAGTTTAGATTAGTAATATATTTCTAACCAGAGTAATTTTCAAGATCATTAGGCATTTATGTAATTAGTGCCAAATCTATAAGCTTTTATTACGATTATTAGAGTAAAATCAGTATAAATTTGTACTAATTTACTACTGTTTAGACTTGGCTGTCAAGCCCAGAGGTTCTTATTGTAAATGATAACTGAGGAAATTAAGTGCAAAATTCTGTACCATTTCTGATCTGCTCCTAAACAATCCGTTTCAATTGTATTTGTAGCAGAACATAATGCCCTTTTAAAGTTATTTGACTTGTATTTTTATTTGCAGCACAAGAAAAATGCCCTCTACCCAGGCACAATGAAAACTGATATTTACTACCCTCAACTTGATTAACATTGATTTTTAATTCGAGAGTGATGCAATTAAGATTATTCATTTAGTGCAAATAAAGCTTCCACAAAAGGGTGGTCCTATGAAGTCTGTTTTAAATAATACCGAGCAAATGGCTTTTTTTGTTCGCCGTCCAATTGACTTACACAAAACATTGGAAATGCTGCCTGAGAGCAGATGCGCGAGGAATGTGTGTGTGTGTGTGTGTGTGTGTGTGTGTGTGTGTGTGTGTGTCCTTAGCTGCATGCGTGACAGGGACCGAGCAAGGAGACAAAGGAGGCAGCAAGGCGAACTCTGGGGCAGTTTTGCTTCCTCCTCCTTCTCTCCTGCAGCCTGCTCCCCTCCTCCCGTGCACACACACGTGTGCGCGCGCACACACACACACACACACACACACGCGCGCGTGAATGCCGGGCATCAGCCACAAAGGTTCCTTCCAAGCTACGGAGACGGCTTCCTCGGAAGCTGTGGGCCTGGCCGAGCCTCAGCGGCCGCCACAAGCAGCACGGCCTGGGGGGCCGGGGCCCGGGAAGGCGGGCAGTCGCCTGGCGGAGCCCGGGGGACAGCGGTCTGCTCGGAAGCCCCCAGGGTGTTGGGCAGACACCTAGTGTCCTTTCGGGAAAGGCTTGGTTGGGAGAACAGCTAAACCAAAGCAAATAAAATCTCTCCAGTAGAAACCTTCTCCTCCCCCAAACAACACCCCAATCCTAGAAGAGACGGCGCCCGGCGCTCGGGGCGAGAGGCCAGACAGCGGCCGGGCAGGAGCGGCGCCCCGGACGTGCTCCCCAGGGCGCACCTGGCGCCTCCCGTGGGGTTCGCAGCGGGGTGTGTCCTGCTGGGAGAGATTAGAGGGCCTTCCGAGACCGGCGCGCAGGGGCAGAGGCGGGGAGAGCCGGAGGGCCGGGCGCGGGAGCCCACCCTGCTCCTCCCAACCGCAAGTGCGCTGAGGCCGGGACGCGGGGAGAAGGGCGCTGGCCCAAGGGCGCGGCCCGGGGCCCCTCGCGTGCGCCGAGACCTGCCGGCCTCCCCCTGCGGCCCCCGGCAGCCGCCCGCCGCCTCCCGCGCGCACTCGCTTGTACATTGTTTTGTTCTATCTTTCAGGTCGATAAATAAATGTGTAATAGTTAATGTGAAGACACATCAGAGTAATAACAATGGGACGAAATCAAAGGATTATCCATCTCTGTTAGTAGCCGCTGAATAACAATGTTGCGGCGTGATTGATAGTCCGCTTCATTTTATGACTTTTCTATTGGTCTTGATTTTTATAGCAGGATAAACAAACTAAATCATTTCTTCCAAGACTTCAGAGCATAAGCATGGGGGGGGGGGCGGATAAAGGAAAGGAAAAAAAAGGAAAGAAAGGGAAATCTGAGAGCGGGAGGGGTGCGGGCGGGGGCGTCGGGCCTCGTGGCAGCGCGGGCAGCGGGCGTGGCGAGCAGCGACAATGGGCCCGGGTCAGGCGCCCGGCCCTGCGCCCCGGTCCCCTCAGCGGCTCTTCCTGGCCAATGTCTGAATCCACCCGGGCCGCGCCTGGGAGGTATTTACCAGAGTTTTATTCCCCGTCATCTTCCCACGTTCCGGAGGCAGCCGGGAAAGTGCCGGTCAGGCCCATTGCTATTGATAATTTAAGGCATTTCCCACATGATCATGGGAACTGAAGTCCCTAACAAGGCAAGGCTTTAGCGCAATGGCCCCCAAATCTTCGGAATGACAAGAATGTCTTCAGAAATCACTTCAAAGCAAAGTAAAAGGATTTTCTATGACGGATCCAGTGATTTTTCCTCAATAAATAGGTTTTAGATTGTTACACACACGTAGAAGTGGAACAAAGGGAACTACCAGAAAATATATTGGTTGCCCCTAATAAAATTTATTTAGACAGTTTACCTCTCATAAAAAATAGAGATTGAATTTTGTACAAGAGCCTGCCAAGGGGCGATGCACAGGGAAATCATTTTTTTTTTTCCTTTCTCCTCTTTTCCCCTTCTCCTTTTTAACGAAGCACAAACAGCATTTAGAGGCCAGGGAACCCGCTCCGGCTCCTGCTCCCGCTCCCGACCGCCAAGCGCCCAGACCCAGCCTGAGAACTTTGTAGTTCGGAGACAAGTGGGCTTTCGGGCATATATGTATATACATTAAATCAAAACCTTGATTGCCGGTTCTGTAAACTACAAGCACAGCAACTACCAAATCGGTGGCTTCCCTCCTGCTTCGCTGTCCTGATCCAGAGAAAGATTTAGAACTATAGTGTAGTTGGATGGGGAGGGGAATGGGGTGGGAGATCCTGGCAGCCAGGGCCCTAATGATGGATTTATGCTAATTAGGTTTGTAATTCTGATTTTCTCTCTAATTGTATTTCTGTGCTCACTGTGAATCTTTTGTAGAGACAGACAGAAAGAATAAAAATTTATACTAGGTGCTCCTGAAGAATGGGGTAGCGTGCCCAGCTCCTTGATCGTTTATTCCACATACAGAAACCTCGGGTGTTTATTAAATATAACTTTCGGCTGCTTGGGTTGTTTGTAAACTGCTCTCTTTTCTTTGCAGACAGTGGGCTGAGATATGGTGCGTTATTATTCACATCCCTGCTATTAAATGCTGAATTGTAACATTGTTCCCTTTAATGAGGAGCGCCTCCCTCAATAATTAACGATCTCACATTTTCCTATTTTCTTGCCTGATGAAAAGAATCAATTTTAATTCGTGGTAAATTACAGCCATGCTTTTGGGTATTATTTGCTTACAGAAAACAAATCAAGTGACTTGAACAATCCTGTTTACTTTTCCAGATATGCAATAACCCAAACACAGTGGCAAATCAGATCGCGTTCCTCGGGCCTACCTTAAAACCTCAAAAAGAATAAAGGGTAGGGGCAAATAGTCGAGAAAAAAAAAAAAAAAACAGGAAGCTCTCTGTCCACTGCGTCTGAAACAAAGGTGACCACCGTCTCCTACATCTTACCCCCAGGTGCCAGAATGGAGGCTCCCCAGCCCCAAGCCTCATCGCCCCACCCCCGTCCGGGACAGGGGTCGGTGGTCCGCATCTCGGCACGCTCGAGTTTGGCACTGCTTGGTGTGTGTATGGTTCGTTTGAAGGGACTCGATGTGAGGGTGGGGTGAGTGGAAGGAAGGAGATCTGGGAGGGCAGCCAAGTCTCTGGGAGAGGGTGACAGGCACTTCCACACTCCTCTGCATAAAAGAACTCTCCTGAGGTTCCCAGCAAAAGAGACCGAAGCCAAAGAGGCTCCGGCCGAGTGCTCTCGCCCGGCCACTGCGCAGGCCTCCTCGGCTGGCCTGGGGCGGCGGCCCGGGGGCACAGTGAGCGCCCTAACCCCTAGGCACCTGGCTTGGGTCCCGCCCCAACTCGCACTCCCCAGGCCTCCCCGGCCGGAAGCGCAGAGACCAGGGGTGTCCCTTTGATGCCGCCGCCCAAGCCCAGGGCGGCGAAGACTCTTGGCAGACGGGACCCGGGCTCCCCAGCCTGTGAACTAAAAGCCGAGGACCCACACTCGGGGCTGCTTCTCCGCAAGCGCAGGCAGCGAGCGGGGCCTGCGTGGTGGCCGCGCGTGTACTTCGTGAGCGCCCTGCGGGCTCACGCGACCCGCGGGGAGGTGCCCAGGGCGACCCCACGGCCGCAGATGCTCGGGGGGAGACTGAGTCCTGCCCTTCTGGAAAGCCCGCGGCGACACTCGGGCTCAACGAGAAATGGTCTCCGCAGTAAACAGTTTCCCACACATTCAAGTTTGCAAACTGTGACCATGCGGCCCACCCGCCTGACTCTTCGTAGGCGCTGGGGCCCGTCCCTTGCTTATTTTCTTCTATCTTTGCCTTTTAACAACTCAGGGCAGAAAGCTCTACACAAAACAATGACGGATCAGAACCCGCCCCCTGATTCCGTATCTCTCTCTCTCTCTTTTGCCTTTAGCCCTGTAATTTTAATGGCCCCAATTAGCCACACGGAATACAATAAGCGACATAGATATTTTATTTGTATGTGTTAAGTTCAGTGCTTTTCTGATTTCTATTTACTCAGGATAAATAATCATATATCAGTTATTCAGTTAGGTGACAAGGCTGGTAATTGGAATAAAAAGAAAAACATCTCATCCTTATCTCTTCCTATAACTAGATATAGAGCTAATAAGACTGCATCAATCTTATCTAGCAAATAAATAAAATAGACAAACAAACAAATTCGCCTCCAACAAGTTAATGCGGTGTATCTGAGTGGAAAGTAGATATTTTCACGCATTCTGGAGATGAGGAGTGACTTTTAATAAAATCACAAGAAAAACAAATGTAATTCTGTAAGCGGGGCCTCGGAGCCGCGGGCGCCCGCCCCTCCCCTGGCTCCCCGCCGGGCCGTCCCAACCTTCTCCTCTCCGCGGGCCGTTAGTCCCGCTGCCGACCGACTGCCGGCGAGGTTTCCCCGCTACTCTACACCTAGGGGTGGGGTAGGGGAGGGAGATCTAATTCCATAGGTAATGAGCCTTCCTCAAATAGGGTTTTCTGTTGCCTTGTCTTTTCCTTCTTTCGTTAGCATTCTCCCTTTGCTCTTCCTTTTTCCTCATTCCTCACTCCTCTTTTTCCCTCTTCCCTTTATTTTCTCTTCCTCCTTTCTCTTTTTCCTTCTTTCTCTTTTCTGCCTTTTTCGTCTTCCCGCTCCTTCCTCTCCTCTCTCCGCTCTCCCTCTTTGCCTCCGCCCTTCGTGTCCTCTTTATTTCTCTTTTTCTCCCCATTTCTCCTTTTTTTCTCCCCTTCTCCCTGCTCTCCATCTTCTCTCCTTTCTTCTCCCTTCCTCGCTCCCTTTCTTGTCTCCCTACACCCCTTCCCTTGCCCCCTCCCGGCAGCCCGAGTGCGGCTAATTCCGGGCGTCTATATTCACTCAATTAGAGAAATCTACAGAGAAGATCGATCTTCCATCTGCAGACATGCCAGCTTAACAAATTAGATTCTTGTTTCGTGCAGGTGATTTGGTGACAGTTGGGGAATTAGAAGTAATAAGTTGTTGTGTTTGAGCCCAGGCCCCCGCCCCCCGCCCGCGCCCCTCCCCGCCCGCGGGCCCCCGGCCGCGCCCGCCGCCCGGGCACCCCCAGCGCCCCCACCCCCAGCCGGCCCGCGCCCGCCGCCTGCCGCCGCCGCATCCCCCGCCGTAATTAGTGCTGCTGCCCTCCATGTGGGCTCGATTAAACCGTGATTTAGCCGAAAGAAATATAATTATGGCTGCAAATAAAATAATCAGCATTGAAGAGCGATTTCCTTAATGAGATGGAGCGGTTGCACGTCACGGAGTAAAGGGGTCTCATTAGGAGGTGGTAATGAGGCTTGGGTGGATGGTGCAGTTACAAAATAGCCCAACTCCTCTGCAGGCCCGGCCCGCCCGCCCGAAGTGGCCGCCGCAGCCTTCCCGCCGCCGCGCCGTCCCGCGGTCCCCCAGGGGCTCCCGGGCCGGTCCCGCCCGGCCCCCGGGGGGCGCAGCGCCCGCCTCGCCGCCTCCTCCCTCCGCCCGGCCGCGCGGTCCGGCGGGGCGGGAAGGTCGGCAGGGGGGGCCACCAGGGGGCGGGAGGGCGGCAGGGGGGCCACTAGGGGGCGGGGAGCACCGGGGGTGCGGGGGGAGGGCGGCAGGGGGGCCACCAGGGGGCGGGGAGCACCGGGGGTGCGGGGGGGGCGGCAGGGGGGCCACTAGGGGGCGGGGAGCACCGGGGGTGCGGGGGGCGGCAGGGGGCCACTAGGGGGCGGGGAGCACCGGGGGTGCTGGGGGGGCGGCAGGGGGGCCACCAGGGGGCGGGGAGCACCGGGGGTGGGGGGGGCGGCAGGGGGGCCACCAGGGCGGGGGGCAGGGGGGGGGCGGGGGGCGGCAGAGAGGCCACCAGGGGGCGGGGGGCCGCGGCGTGCGCTCCGCTGGGGGAGCCGGGTTCGCAGCGACGCCTTCGAGGACGCTGGGCGCCGAGGAGCAGGTCTGCGGGAGGAGCTGAGGGGCGGCCGGGCCATCCCCAGGCGCAGGCCCCGGGCGGGGGGTGCTCGGCCGGGCCGCGGCGGGTGACCAGGAACAGGTGTGCAGACGCAGGGGTGCGGCGCGGCGGGAGGCGTCAGCGCAGGCTGCTGCCCACCAGCTTAGAGACCCCGCACGGAAGGGCCTCGGGGGTTCTCACTCTCTCCACGTCATTTTCCGAACTTTATCAAAGTACTGAAAAGGCACCCACTCTGTCTCAACCACCACATAGGGGAAAACAAGTCTTAAATAAATTATTCCAAAGCTTTCCCTAAGAGGGTAGCTCTGGCCTTTCAGTTTTATTAGGTTGCGGACAGCCTGTGAGCCCTTCTTCACATCACGGTGTGTACATACGCACGTTCCCAGTATCCGGAAGTGGTGATACCTCAGTCTTTACTTCTAATTAGAATGTTAACCCTTTCTTGATTTCTGTTTTATCGTTTGGAACCACTCTGAGCCGGACAAGGAAACGCACATTATCCATACAACTTGGCAATGAGGTGGCTGACACACTTTCCCCTATTCATCCAACCAGTGTTTACTGAGCACCTAACTATGTGTGCTAGGCACTGAGCTGGGCCCTGGTGAGAGATGAACAGGGGGCAGATCCTTGGCCTAGTGGAGCTTACAGTTCAGCATGCCCTGCATTAAATTACTCAGCCATTGGTGGCCTCTGGCCATTAGGCATTGCACCCTTTGGGAAGCTGAGAAAAACCTGACAAGTAGGTCTAGCTTATGTTCTCTGAACCTCCCAGCTTCCCCACCCAGGAGGCTGGGATCCTAACAGAGAAAGCAATTTGATAAACCAACTTTCTTCGGTGCTAGGAGTTAACATAATACCCTTTATAGAATGTTCCGATTTTAAAAGAGGAATTCAAAGAGAGTCAGGTGCCCTAGATGAATGATTTCCACATCTTTCTGATGGCAGTGGGAGGTTTGGACCAGGACAGTTTGGAAATAAGTTAGTACTATGCCAAATTACTGCTTCCCTAATCACCATCACTAGCTGGGATGGAAACTCTTACACGTAAAAGACTTGTGTTTTTTTTTTTCCCCCTTGGGGAGTCACAGATCCCTTTGAGAATCTGATGAAAGCTGTGGCCCTCCTCTCATGAAAATGCATGTATTTGCAAACAACCTCAGGGGGTTCGGCCCCCCACAAGTCCTAGTTTATGAAAGAGTGGTATCTAGATGAGCCTTTAATATTTGTGATTAAGACTTTCAGGGAAGAAATAATGTAAATCTCCGGAGGAGTTCTATCAATAGATCTGCATCTAGGGAAGAGGGGAGTCAGAAATCAAAAATAAATTGTCAACCAGTAAGTTCCAAGAAAACAACTGGTGAGAAGATGCATGCAGTCTAACAAATTTGTCACAAATTCATATCTTCTATCTGACCCAAATACAGATTGATATTAATCGAAACCTATCTGAAAATTTTCCATATTGCAGAGACTTGTCGGGAAACCTACTTTGTTGGTGGGCAGCTCTTGCCCAGATGCAGGCCCTGGGCTGCTGGCACTCTGGCTGGGGAGGGCAGCAGCTTCAACACCATGGTGCATCCTGAATACTCAGACTTTGCCCTGGGTGGAGATGCCAAGTGAATGTGATTAAAATTCACACATTGGGACCTCAGGGATGATTGGTGATTGGATGATGAAGGGCTGTTAAAAGTCTGTTTAAGCCCCCTAAAGCCCCCAAATCCAGAGCTTAAACTAATTCTCTTATTCACTCCCCAAAGGAATTTTTCATATTAGGGACTGAAACCAAGCAGTAGAGTTGCCTTCTTCACCCTCCCAGGCTTTCCCAAGACGCTAACATAAGGAACCAGAGAGTCTTTTGAGGCAGGAGATAGTTCTTTACTGGTTGCGCTAGAACAAGGATTTATTGTCCTCTCCCTTAATTTTCAAGATGTCCCCCAAATCGCCCATCAGGAGGGATACTGACTTTTCCATATACATTTTCCTGGCATAAGCTTTTTTTTTTTCTTCCCACAAAGTGGGTGCAATAGGGAGGGGAATATATACTAGGATACATATTAAGGCAGCTGTAACATAGACCCTAAGTTAAAGTAGCTTAAAAAACATAGAATTTTATTCTCTCTGATGTTCCAAATCCAAGGCTCACATTCCAAGACTGATATAGCAGCTCCAAAAGGTTAGGAACCCAGGCTTCTTTATTGGTTGTTCTGTCTTCCTCAACATTTGGCTTCTGTTTTGTGGTCCAAGATGGCTGCTCCAGCGCCTGCCATCACCTGTGTACTTTAGGCAGTTGGGAGATGCAAAGGAAAGTTCACCATCACACCTCCAGCTCAAAAGTGCATCCATCACTTTTTCTCACAGGGCAGTGACCAAAATTGGTCATGTGGCCATACCTACTTCAGTGGACACCAAGAACAGTGGTGTTTCTCTGAACTGGTTAAAACATCAGAAAGGACTCCCCATGGCTTTCCTGCTCTGGATGGAACAAAACTGCTATCTTCAACATGGACCTCACTTATTACTTCCTCACATTTGTTCTGCAAGATTGGTGTGTGTTGGGGGAGAAGAGAAGAGACGTGGTAACCCAGAAACCAGCTAGGAGCCTAACTCAATAATCCGGGGGGAAACTATGGTTGCTTGGACCAGAATAAGAGCAGTGGAAGAAGTGATAAGTGATTGGAGGCTAGAAATATTTCTAAGGGAGAGCCTATGATTTGCTTCTAGATATAGGAAAGAGAGGGAAGAGTCAAGGACAATGCTTTTCATTGCTCATCTGCCCATTAACAATTCATTCACTCATTCATTTGCCAAATTGTTATTGAGCATTGTCTGTGAGCCAAGCATTGGGCTGAGACCTGTGGCTATAATGGCTATATCATGCCTTTACAGTTGAAAAAGAAAGACGACAGAGAAATAAATACAAACATGAGTGTGTATAGAAAACACACACACACACACACACACACACACACAAGTACTAGAGGCCATGAGATAATATCAGAGAGGAAGCCAGCTTGGTCTTGGAGTCTGGGAAGTGATGACTAAGCTGAGACATGAAGGGCACATAGGAACTGGCCAGGAAATTGAGGTGAGATGGGGACAGAAGATGAAGAAACAGTGTTCCTGGGACGCCTGGGGGGCTCAGCGGTTGAGCGTCTGCCTTTGGCCCAGAGTGTGATCCTGGCCCCCCCCCAACAAGTCCTGCATCAGGCTCCCTGCAGGGAGCCTGCTTCTCCCTCTGCCTGTGTCTCTGCTTCTCTCTCTCTCTGTGTGTCTCTCATGGATAAATAAATAAAAAAAGAAAGAAGAAAGAAAGAAAGAAAGAAGAAAGAAAGAAAGAAAGAAAGAAAGAAAGAAAGAAAGAAAGAAAGAAAGAAAGAAAGAGTTCCTGCAAAAGAATTGTCTCCAAGTCCTCATTTCTCCCGTGGCTTCATGTTGTCTCCTTGGGGTTGAACATGAAAGCCAGGCCTATGAAGTCTGGAAACTTGTCTGGAAACTTCATGTTTTCTTTTCTTTTTTTTTTTTTAATTTTTTTTACTTCACGTTCTCTTTAAAGAGAAACTGCTGTTTGAAGTTCAATTCAAGTTAATTCAATCCAATCTACATTTGTAGGTTCCTGGCTGGGTCACCAGCCTGAAGACAAGAGCCTTTTAAGTTAAAGTACCATTTAACTGAAGGCAGAGAACAAAACTGAAGATACTGAATTTGAGGAAATGCGGAGACATCCTCCTTGAGGTCAGATGAAAACTCAGAAGATGTCAACCTAGAAAGACGTGTGCTCAGATCAAAATCTATACAATTTGGGAATTACAAGGAAGTAAGTGTGGGTTAGGAGACAACCCAGTATCTTCAAGGCAGATGAAAGGGAGTTCTTTAAACAGGAGAAATTAAACTTGTAAATCCATTCCCTTCGAGAGGTGGTACAAGTTCTGTATTTGTGGGCTTGAGAAGTTATCAGCCGCTGGAGTGTCACCCTGTCCACGCTCTTCAGGGTGGCTCATCTACGCAGGAAGGACAGAGGGGAAGAGGAGAGCATCCCTCTTGCTCTAGACAAACAAGGCGGAGGTCATACACATCACTTCCACCCAATCCCATTGACTAGAACTTGGCCGAAACATCACACCTAGCTACAAGGAAGGATGGGAACCAGTATCTCTATACAGGGCAGTCACGTAACATGTCACCTCACAGGTGGCATAGGGGTCCTGTCACAGAGAAAGAACAGGCACTGGGAGCCTCGTGCAGTTTTGTTGCACTACGGAGTTCTTCTTTCTCCAAAAGACTTCCGAAGTTAACTCTGCAAAGAAAATGTTTAGGAGTGCATGTGGAGGGGGAAGGGTGGAACCATAAATGTACCTTCTTCTTTGGGTTCTCTCACTTGAATTTCTGCTGTCCCCCAAGTGTTTTGCCCCACTTAAATATCCTTGCTCAAGCAAAGATTGAATCCTTTCCTTGGATTTCCTTAACCAAGACTGAATAGAGCTTTCAAAGAGTTGACTATAAACGTTAAGAGAGCAAAGAAGAAACAAACACAGAAAATACAAGAAACTTGAAAAATCCCCAGGTTAAAAAGTCCAAGGTATCTATCAACTCTTCCTCACTCTTGTCCTGAAGGTTTAGCCCAACTTTGGCCCCATTGACTACAGCCTTCATTCCCTGGTCCCCAACTTTTTCTGCACAAAAGATGCTGCTTTTAACCTTAATTATTCAGAAACAACCTATGGTATCACCCTATATTTGAGCAATAAGATGTTCCCTGTCTTGGTCCTTGGCTTTAGATGGCTCCATTCGGACCAGGTGCAGCCCATTAAGAGCCTGTCCTGTCCCCCCATCCCCGCACTCCCTCGAGTTCCAGAATTCCTTGCCCAAAGTCCTGCTCCTGCTTCTAGGCTGTATGTGGGCTTCTTCCCATGTCAGTCCATCTGCAGCATACACACCTCAAGACCAGAGGGGCAGCTGCTTCGGTGGGATGTCATTGGAACTTGGACAAGTAGGCTAGGATGACCACTTGTGCATGGGGGAGGCCCCTTGCTGCACTGGATGCAGCTGGTTGGTAGGAAGAGAAAAGGCAGCAAGCTCAGAGCCTGGGGGCTAGGACTCCAAAAATTATGAATTTCAATTTGAACACCCAGGCTGTTATGAAGACATATTTGTCAAGATAATAGAAGGAAATAGAATATATTTCATGTAGCAATTTGTTAGCTTGCTTTATAATTTTTAAATATTTTGACATATAGTATTTAATCTTCTCATTTTTCTCTTGCTCCAGGTCCTGCAAGTGTTAGGGGGTAGGCCTGGCTATCTTGCCACATATTTTGTCATCTTTAAAGTCACACTGTGTGTGATTCCTTCCCTGCAGCTCATACTTTTAACTGCTAACCTGTGACAGGTCAGGTCAGGAATGAAGGCCTTCATGTCTCAGGTGGAAGGCCACCACCGATCCGCATACACACTAGCCTCTTGTTCCTCCGGTGTGCCATACTCATTCCCACCTCAGAGCTATGATCCCTTGCTGTTTGTCCCTTCTTCCTGAAACACACTTCTCTGGACCTGGTTAGCTCTCTCTTTATTCAGGTATCTGCTCAAATGTTATCTCTATACAGAGGCTTCCTCTGTATCCCCTTCCCAAATCTAAAAAAGTTCCTCCAAAGAGTCAAATATATTCATCATCGTTTATCCTTTATCCCTCACCCTGCTTTATTTTTCCAGCAGAGTACTAACCACTACCTGAAACGGTGCTACATGCTTGTTGTTTGCCTCTTTATCTGAGTAGAAAACCAGCACTGTGAGGGCTGAGACTTAGTCTTCCTCACCTTAGTTTCCCTAGAGCCCTTACAGTGCCTAATACATCATAATGTTCAAAAAAGTTTTTGTTGAGTGAATTAATGAAAGGAAGAATGAATGAATGGCATAATTGTTCAACAGCAGTTGGAAATCAGGTACTCCAATTCAAATTACACTTATTAAGCCGTCTGAATTATGAAGGAGAGGTCATTACTATTGGATTTATGTCTCCCACATAGGATGGGGCATAACTGGGTCAGCTCTGTGCAGAGCAATCCAAAATGAGACCAACAGTGAGGCGTCAAGATGGCCCCGTTGCCAACAAGCCCGGAGTAGCCTCTGCAACTGAACTTGGGTTCTCCCTCTCCAGCTCTGTACTCAGATTTGAGCCTTGAAAAGTGAGCTCAGTGCAGAGTCTGCCATGTGATTCATTATTGGTGAGAGACTTAGTTTTTGAACAGAGGACTGGACTGAAATTTGAGGTAGACAAAATAGAGGGTGCCAACGTGAGGGTCTGCCATCAGAACCAGGAATCCTTAGGGATGAATGACTAACAGATTTATTTTTAATGATGAGAAACTGAGGCCCAGAGAAGCCAAAGGCTCATAATGGCTAGTGGAGAATTAGGTATGGGATCCAGGTCTTCCAACCCCCAGGTCTCTTTGCACTCTCCTGGATTAACCCTGATTCATTTCATAGAAACCACCAAAATTTGGATGAAATTTCCATCAAGCATTAATTAAGTGTAGCAACTCTTATTAAAAGACACCCTACTGATTATCTGTAAAATGGGGATGATCAGAACACAACTCATGAGGTTGAGCCTTAAAGGGCTAGGG